GTGCTGAACACTTGGTGTTGACGACATTCCCATCTTCCCCTCTTCTTCGTCTAAACCCCATCTCCTTCGTCTGTGTATGGTTGGGGCTGGCGCAGTCTTCCTGTGTGAAGCGCCAGACCCCTTCACACCATGGAATGAGGATGATGATGTATGTTTGGGGCTGCATTGCAATATTGATTGTTCGGATCATTGGTATCTAAGTCTTCCGCTGTGCTATTTTATACTTTGTATTGAAAGGTCGGTTCTTGTTCTGGTCTGCACCTATACGGTATGCAACATTATGCTATGCTTTACAGTGTGTCACCGGACTATACTTCTCTGCCTTGCGGCTTTTCACGTTTTCTCGTGCTTTGGGATTTTGCAGCATGCTCTGCCATGACTGTAGGATTGACTGTTAAATGGATCTTGGTTCAATCTCAAATACAATTACATAGTAACTCCTTGATGTGCCACATCATGCTATAGAATTGATCGAACTCCTCGGTGCACCACACCACGATGTAGAATTGACTGTTGAATCTGGAGAGCAACTAAATAAGAGCTCTGGACCGATGGGCAGCAGATTGGCTGGTTGCCCAAAAAATGAACTAGCATCTGTGCTGATCGCCTCTGACAATCAGTTGCTGTGACCTCTGGCCCCTGTTGGTCAGCCTCAACCCAGTGACCAGCCCAGAGGAATGTGAGAAAAAGAAACAAATAATGAAAACCGATTCTGCACCCTCGCTTGCAATCATTTGCACAGCGAATTATTGAATGACGAAAAACCTCAACCTGATGCAGCCTGAGGGATGTGCATTAATTGAATGTCCTATGCTTGGCTGGACATTTCACTTGGCTCCCGATGGCACTGGGCTTCGTTCAGAAAATAATGAATCCGCTTTGCATTTGCGAAAGGGGCAGCGCAGACCCCTGGGTCTGATTCTGGGGTTCTCGTGATTTCATTGATCTTACGTCCCTATCCTGATATTCCGAGTCGTGAAGGGGCTCGCTTTGTTTGCATAGAGGGCGATGAAAAGGTTCATTCCTCCTCTCTCCCGGTGGAGAAGTCTGCAAATTCGGTTGGGTATCCTAGGGGGAGGTAAAATATCTCCACGGTTCGGCCACGGAGGTCTGTCTGTGTTAGCTACTGATGGTTGGAAACCTTGCTGTCTGTTCAACAGGTCAAGCTGTCTGGAGCTGCTCTCCGCTGTGAATGGAGCAGTGGTGTGCTTTGTTGCCAACTCTTTGTGGAATGGGTGTCTTTGCTTGGTGATTATTGCGTTAGGAGTCTTGTCTGTGACTAACTTGTGGTGCAAGAACTTGAAGGCTGCAGTTCTCCATAGGAGCTGTCTGTTGCAGCTGTGCCATCATATCGTGCCTGGTAGCTGTTGTACATTTGTGTGAGAGAATATTCATCTTTCTGGTGTGCCCGGTGGAGGCAAGGTCGACGCAATGATGCATGGCAGACCAGGACCTGCTGGGCCATTTTCTGGGCCGATGGGTGGAGGTCCTGGGGCATTCAATGGGATGCGTGCCAAGGCACCACCTGGTCCTGCTCCGCCTATGTTTGGTGGTGGTAGTCCTCACCAAGGTCTTCCTCCTCCACTGGCAGTCATGGAACACAAGCTTGCCACTGCACAGACAGAGATGCAGAGGCTGTTGACTGAAAACCAGAGGCTTGCAGCGACACTCATGGCTCTGCGGCAGGAGCACTCAGTAGCTCAAGGAGAAGTGCAGCGCTTGCAACAGGCATTGGCAACCCATCAGGCTGAGAGAGAGGCAAGCATCCGGAATCTCATGGAACGGAATGCTGCGATGACAGAAGACCTGCGTGCAATAGAGCCATTGAAGAAAGAGGTTCATGCTGCAAGAGTGGAGCTGCAAGATCTTCGAGTGAGATGTCAGGAAGCTGAACAGGCGAGGGTAACTGCTCAACAGCAACTGCAGGGCATGACAACTGACTTCAATCGGGCCCGTCAAGAGCTTAGTCAACTTGCCACTTTGAGGCAAGAGGTGCAGCAAATTCCAACACTGCGGCAGGAAATTCAAGGGCTGCGGCAGGAACTGCAGCAAGCTCGGACCCAGCTTGAACAGGAGAAGAAGTTCAACTCCGAACAAATTGACAACAGTCAGCGGATGGAAAGCAACCTTATCTCAATAGCAAGGGAGAATGAAAAACTCCGCGCACAACTCACGATTGCTGGCAGGACTGCTGGTGGCACTGGAGCCCTGGAATGGAGCTCTGGTGCAACCACTAGGGACTACAGTAGCGGCTTATGGTAACCTGAGCAGTTTTGGCCCCCTTCGTGACGTCCCCTCTCCCTGTTCTCCTTCCCATTTACCCTTGGGGTCCAATGTCAGGCTGTGCTGCGATATGCAGTTCCACACTGGCTCGTTTGTTGACTGGTGGCCCTAGACCATAGGACTATTTGCGCACATGCCCGGGAGTCGCATAGCCATCCATGAATGGCGGGCAAGAGGACACACCGTTCTTCTTCATTAAGCACGTCAAATAGTAGTATGGTCTGAAACAGTGGCAGTAGATCCCTTGTTATGTGGTTTTCAAACCAAGTGTATTCAGATTGGCATTGCAGATGTTGTCCTCCTTTGAGTGAGCCCCTTTCTGTCTCAGTGGGTGGCCAGGGTATGCCCTTTACCCTTTTCGACAGGCCGCGCTGAAGGTCAGGAAAGGTTGACTTGCTCAGGAGATGCAGCCATCATGAAAGGCATGCTGTCTGTAGGCAAAGATTTCTTCCCTCTGGTAAGCTTTCTTTCTGCCGATAAGCGGCGGGCCTGAGAGCACCTGTTCGTCAGCTTGCTGCTAGCCGGTTCTGTAGGCTAACTGCTTCTAGGTTTTCCTTCTATGGTTTCTTTGGGTAAGCTTTCTTTCAGTCGCTACTCTGCTTCAGGACGTTGATTCTCGTTAATGTCGGAAATGGAGCCCTTCTTTGCGGAACAGGGTGCCCTGATACGTCCTATAAGCCGATTTCTGCTGGGTATGTCAGTGTATACTCAAGCAGTTCTCTAAGTATTATAAGGGTATTTGCCTGTCGTGATGTTTTCAATGTGTCGGAGGCAATGCAAAGAGATCTCAGTTAGATTTATTCGCCTATTGCCCTTCCTGGAATGAACCTAGTGCTCTTGATCAAGGTCTGAAAGAATGAATCCAAGTTCCTATGGCAGGGCTCTCCGTCCTCCTTCGTTGATCCAAATTAAGTAACTACTATTTTGTGTCCAAGTCGCAGACCTTGCAGTAAAGTGTACTGCTGGGCGTGCTCCCTCTGTACCATTACCTATCAAGTAGACTCTTGTTTTTTGTGTTTAGGGTGAGAGGCCACTGGAGGTGGGTGGGCTTCAGACCTTGGTGAGAAGGCAGCCTGTTGGGCATGGGGTTGCTGTTCCCGGATTCAGCTGCCTGGTCTGCAATGATCAGCAAGATCATCAGTGCCTGGTCAAGCAGGTTCAAGTTCGCTCCTGCCGGTCATGACCTTGCTGAGTTTGCTGTTTCAGGGGTTGGCTGAGTTTCCTGCCAAGTAAGCAAAGACAGTGCTGGGTCAAGCGGAGTAATTTCACTCATGTGGGCTAGTTAGTGGCTGACTGTTTGCTTAGCTTGTGGTTAACCCACTCTTGGCTCTGAGCGTGTTTACTCTGCAGTTGTGACTCAAGTGCCCACATTCCCAGGTCTATTCATTGACTGAGCAGGGTGTGTGTGCACTGAGATTGCCCACCATCCGTTTACGTGATAGGATAGCTCTTGCAATGGCCCGCCGTCCATTTACCTCATGGGCTTGACAGCTGGCGAGAGATAAGTGGTTGGCCCACATGCAAGCTGCCAAGGCAATGGATTGATTCCGGACTCGTATGGTGATGGGCTAGCTGTGTGGGAATATCAGTTTGAGAATAAACAAATGTTGGTGGCTTCACATGCATTTTTTGAATAATGCGGAAGCGAGCAATCTACCATCAATCTCCTCACCTGATACCCCCTGCCCCCCTCTCTTTCGCGCACCTCATTGCCTTTTTTCGGTTCGATCTCTTTGGAAGTTGAGTCCACAGTAGCCAATCATCCACCTGCCTCCCGGTGTTTAGGTGGCCTACTTAGAATCAGGAATAGACGAGCAGCTGTAGTGACCCACCAATTTCGTGCTTTGAGAACACGTTAGTTCGATGTCAAGTCTAAATGCTTTCACACACGAGCGAGGTCAGAGGGGGATATGTGCCAACACGGAAGGTATAAAACGGTTGTACGACATAGATGAACACGTGAATGAGCTATATGAGGGGATTGAAATTCAACTGATGTGGAGGTGTGCTCGTGGTGATCACATAGGCACATGATGAATTCACAAGGGTATGCTACTATCCATTGTGCCTGTCAGACTGATCAGCGGTGATCTATGTGTTTGTTGATACAAGAGGGGCTTGACCGTGTTGATATCTGATTGAGAAATTTATATGTGATGTAGCACAGTGTTCCTGGTTGGTGGGTACTTGCTGAGCCCGTGAGAAATAGGTGACGGACAAGTGGGCGAGGGAGGGGGCACGTGACAAGTGGGTGAGGGAGGGAGGACTTTACTAGTGGGAGACAATAAAGTTGGGTTAGGTGATGGGCACTGGAAGTAAAAGCTGCAGGATTTTGTTGTCGTAGACAGACGAGTAGCTAGTTGGTGTCATGAGTGAAGGAGGAGGGATGGAGCATTGTGATCTATTGCCTTTTTTTGTGGGGAAACAAATTGAGGTTTCTTGCCAGCTGTGATACAGATAGCCGGGTTTTATGAGATGCACTCTTTCAACAGCCACGTGTCGTCCGCTTTGACACCAGGCTGACCAGCCTTGTTTTCTTTCCAGAGGCAGTATGAATTTATGAATGTGTTTTGCTCTGGCATTCTACGTGGTCCAGAATGTGAAAGTGTCAGGATTCGTTGGAATGCAGAAAACGCAGTCGGTACTCTAAGAAATCTTGAACTGGCCAACAAATAAATTTCATTCCTGTACTACAAATGTGCAGTGTCAATTAGGCCCAGCTCTGGTCGGGGTTTCTTTGGAAATTCTGGTTCAAGTTTTTGGACCTGTCACCCTGTGGATTGTCTGTCAGTCTTTTCGTAAGATTGGTCTACTGGGGTTCAAGACTCACGAGTCGCCATAACCCTTAGTATATTTGTAAACAATGACTGCAGGTTTGAGCACTGCTCAATACTAAGGTGTCTTAACCCTGGGTTATCTTGGTAACCGATCACCGCAGGTTTGAGCAGTCATACGCTGATTGCTGAAAGGTCTGAGCAATCATATATTCAAAGTTGGCTTAGGAATGAACGGGCCAGTCAATGTGTTTACTATGGTATAGTGGTGTTGATGACAGTTTTGGAGGACTCTTGCTGAGTAAATGTATGGACGAGATGGAGAATCGCACTTTGAAGAAAAACTTTGTTTGTTTGTGCAGGTACTCTTCTTCTGTGCCAAGCTCTGCTGTATGCTTGGCAGCTGCTTTCAGCTGGTCTTGAGGCTAGGTACTCTGCGGGGTGTTGTACAGCTAGTAGCTTCAGGGCATGCGTAGCAAACAGCGGGACCATAGTGGAGACCTCCCTGGCGTTAACTTCAGCATCAAGAACTTGAAAGGCAGTAGTTGCTGGAACTTAAGTGGTAGGACCATAAACCACCAGTATATCAGGAGAATTCGAATGAGCCTGTCCGACAAGTTGGGGAATGCGGAACAGGGCCCGCTTGGGGGCGGGTGGAATTTTTTTTTTTCCGTTCATGGGACAAAGCTTTTTCTTCTGGTCCTTCGGACGCCCTAAATTTTCCCGAGCCTCCTTACTTTTAGGAGAGGCTCAACCGCCATTTTCAACTTGGCTGGGCCCAGGTACTGGACCTGATGACACACGCAATGATGATGCTTCAGCCAAGAGGGTAGAAATTGGCATGATTCTTCCCTGAATATGTGGTGCAGGGTAGTGCAGATCCCACAGCAAACGGCATGTGTAGCGTGTCCAGCGTCTCAGTCGCAGGAGCTACTGGGTGTGACGGTGGGTTTCGTATCTTCAGAGGCTCTCTATGCTATTCTGCGGCAAGTTGGAAGGATGGGCGTGTTGTGGTGTGGGATGTGGGCAGGTGCCTGAATAGGACGTCATTTGCAGGAGGTGGTCTAGGAGAAAGGTCTTGGGGGTGAGAACCTTGGATGCTAGCAGGAGCCTCCTTTTGCAGAGGTTGAGCCTGCAGGATCTTCAGGGTCTTACCTGACGACTCTGCTCTGTCTCAGTTTGGCAGAAATGGCAGTGAACTGCCGCTGATGTTTAGGTAGAAAGCATCATTGGGATAAAGGCTAGCGAAATGTCTTTAGGGCAGAAGAAGATTTGTGTGCAGGTGCTGCAGTATGGGTAGCTTTCCGCCACACAGCTGTGTTCCAGCTTTTAGCACAAAGCGCACAAACCTGCCTTTAAATGTGGAGCAATTGCATGCCCATTCCAAACAGAATAGCATGCAGTTTAGCCAGGAATGTCAGGATCTTTCAATGCAGGAGATTTACGAACCCTCCCCCACCCCCCAAAAAGGGAAGAACTCTGCATACTTTTTCTGTGATAACTTGGAACACGTGGCATTTGGAGCAGGCCCACCTGAAAAGGCACATGTAGAACAGGATGTTTTCTAGATAACTTGTACCGACCTGAGGCTTGGGAAGGGGCTTGATGGAGAAGGGGCTCAAGGACATTAGGTTTATGTGCCTGAGGTCTTGCAGGAGGAGGCTAAAGGCTCACCCTCAGTGACACTAACTTCACATGCAGCAGGTCCCGTATCAGGAACCGTAGGGCTGACCCTCTACTATCTGCGAGCTTGTTTCATGCCAATCTTGGAAAATTATGGCATTGGTGTGGACAGGTTCGTTGTAGGGGAACTTTAAACCACCAGCACCACCACCCCTGGACCTACTCTGTAGAACCTACTGTTCACACCAACCCTGGCCTTCCCACCACATTCCCAATACTTTTCTCCAACACACCGGAACCTACCCTTTGTTCGAGGTGTCTTTTCAACTTTTTTCTCAACGGTGAGTGAAGAGGAGGAACAATAGGTTGCTTAAGGCTTTGGCACACTGCTTGCTCTTCTGGCTGACTGCATGCACAAGTCAGAATGAAGCTGGCTGCAAAGTGCAGGGCACTGTTTTTGTCAATCTGATATCCATCATCTCGTGACGTTGAAACAGCACAGCTTGAACATGAGGGCCTCTGGCTTGTCTGGCTATCCCCACTTCAGATGAAGGTGGGGAAGTTTTTGCTGCTAGATACGGCAGTGCGTTCTGGTGATCTGTACTGCTTTTACATGTATCATTGTCCAAGGACGATGATTTCACCTGTAAACATCGATGCTGTTATAGTGTGCTGGTATTTCATGCACTGGCAGGAATGTGCTGTGTCATGCCGATCAAATTCATGCTGAGCTGGCATGTATGGTATCATCTGTAGTGGCAACAATCTGCTGCATCGAGTGAGTGCAGTGACACAATCACATCTTGGGTCTTTTGTTGTTTGGCTTTACCTTGTCCCACGAGGAATGTATATTAGACCCTGAAGAGGAATGGTTTATTTTTTTCAATAGGTTTCGAAAGGGTGCGAAGAGCTTGGAGTTCCACAAACGTGTTCGCCAGTGGAGGTCTCAACCTCGGTCTTATGTTGGTGGAATGCAAGAATTGTAGGTGTTGCTGAATCCACAGATCATGGATGCACAACATGCCAGGAGTGTTGGTTTTATGCAGACAAGGAAAGGTTGTGGATTGTCATGAAATCACACATGAATTCACATGTTTCTGAAAGTAATCTCTTCTACGAATAAGATAATCGATGGTCAGGTAGTTCTATGCTTTGGTTGTCGGCAGTTGAGTCAGTTTGATAGAATGCCGTTGCTCGACTGATGAGAATGGTGCATGGTGTGGCCTTAAATCACCAGTCCGTCCGAGCCTCTTTTTCCCGATATGAATTTATGCAGCATGTGGAGGCCTGGCCAACCAGTGAGCCAACCCTTCCTGTCTAGTAGGCCTGACCCGTCACTCTGCGCCCGGTTAATTATCGCTTCGGAGCAAAATGGCTGGGAAACGGACCGGTGGCTTAAGCTGCGATTATCTCTGTTCCTGTTCTGCAGCACATCCCACCTTCAGCCCTGGGGTTATGTGAATGATGTGGGATGTGCAATAGAGCAGCCTGTAAAGAAGCGTTCGTAATCGGAAATAGGAAAGGAACGATGACAGTGAAGACTTCATAAACGGAAATAGGAAAGGAGAGATGAGAGTGAAGCCTTTGTGAACGGAAATAGGGAAGGAGAGATGACAGTGAGGAGCGCCACAGTCTAAAGGAGGTGCCAAGATGTGACCAAGTCAGACTGGTTTCAGCGCCCCGAGATTGTGTGCAAGTCTGCTCTGAGGTAGTCTGCAACAGATTCCCTTGAAAGCATGTTCTTAAGCCACATGACATGCAATGCTGCCCCCCTCTCCTCTCTGTCCCCAGCAGGAGTCTTGTTCTGCATACTGACAGTGGTGGACTCTGAGCGATCTGGAACAGGGTTGGTTGCTATGACCAAACCCAATATCATGTGACAAAGTCAGTATGTACACGAGTCGTAAAACGGGGGGGGGGGAAAGAGTGAAAAGAGAATGGGAAAGGATAGGAGAAAAAGGAGAGGAATGATGAAGAGAGAGGATGCGATGTTTTTTGCTCTCCGCCAAGTGAGAGAGAATTGACCAGTCCTTCGGGACATCCATTGAAATTGGAATGATACAGAGAAGATAAGCATGACTCCTGTAAAATAAATAAAAAAGGGGGAGAATTGGCCAAATGACACAGAGATAAATGAAACGATGAGGGGACTGTTGATGTACTCTGGCTTGCACCTGTGTACTATCTACCCCCAATTGCAATCAGATCAACTTGGTGAACCCATCACAGAAGAGAATCTGTGCGTATATACTATATACATATACACACTCTCTTTTGGAGCAATTGGAAGAAATGGGGGCTTCCAGGGTGTTCTAAGCAGTAGGGCTCCTGGTGTCGCGTGGAGATCTCCTGGAGCTGGGATTATGGCACTATATACACTTCAGGGGTTAGACAGCAAAGTGAAAAAGGTGGTCGTCGAGCCATGGAGTGATAGAGATGATTGTGACGTGAACGAGTCGAGGATGAATAGCAGTGTCAGTGCTGTTGTACTTGTGCGGTTAATCTTGTGGCTTTCTGGACCAACTCCAAAAGGCCCTCCAAGTTTTTCCTGACCGTTGGTGGATATCGTCAGCGCTTTCTTGTTGGTGGAGCTTTCTGTGTTGAGTATGTTGCATTTTGCCCTCCATCTTTGTATGGACTAAAATATATATATCCCTACACACAGAGAAATCACTCATGTGAGAAATCTGCTATCCGAGCCGTCTGTGCTCCTATAGGGCCGGCGGCCTGGATTGTCGTGCGATCTTGAGATTTTAAGTTCGTGCGGTGATCAAGGTCGTCCTCGGTGCTACCGGGCCATGGTCAGGATCGATGCGTGATCGTAAACCGCCACTACCTTTCTCAGTGTTGGGAAAAACGGGAATATACGGCACACCACGTTTTTCGGGGGTATGGACAAGGCTCGGCAAAAAGGAAAAGAAACGACAACACTGTAACGTGAGTTGAACCATTGGGGAAGGTCTTTGTGCTCACACGTGAAGTTAGGAGAATGTACACGACTAGTATTCAGGGTAGCTACAACTCAACTTTTTTCGTTTTATTTTCCTTCTTTTATTTTGTGAGGATGCCCTGCCAGTGGGTGCAGATAGCGGGTAATGGACACTGGGACACGGCAGGCCAGACTCACACTACTGCTCAAGAAAATGTATCATCCCACTATCATGTACTTAGGGGAGTTTCATTTTCTGTTGTTTCTTTGTTGCTTCCTCTGAAGTGTCGGGCCGTGAAGCTCACTCGTTGTGTTCACACTAAGACTTTAAAAAACATACACAACCAATATACAGGGTGGTTTCA